GCTATTCAGCGATAGCCCTGTCCGCTCGAGTTGAAGAAACTTTGGGTTTCTTTACTCTTTCTTTAACAAGTTATGAAAACTCTTTCATTTTTAAAGTCCATGACCTTGAGCTTCAGGCGCTGACCTTTTCTCTATATGGAAAGAGAGCCGAAGAGCAACAGCTGACTGTGTGTGTTTTCCTCGGGGTGGGGAGTGTGTATAAAAGGCTGAGGCGTTCGGCGGGCAGCTGAATTGTTAAACTGTGTGTGTGTGGGTTATTGTCCGTCGGCCTGTTTCTTTTTTCCCCCTCAGACACATAGCGAGATAAATGTGTTTTGGAACGGGGGGCATTGTACCACATCCACCAGCATAGGGAGGCATGGGCACTATCATTTAGATAAAACAAATTACCAACAGCCACAACGAGAGAGAGAGAGAGAGAATGATAGAGGGGAGAACATACATTGCAGCAAAGATAGAAAAACGGCCAGCAGGTTTGAGATTCACCAGGCTCTCTCTCTCTCTATCACACAGAGGGGCAACACACAAAGCTATTTTCTCTGGCCAATAGCGGCACAGCGGCGCAGGGGAAAGGCAAGCAGTAAATTCCCGCTGGGTAATTAAAATCAATAGCCACGACTCGCTCAGTAGCCAACAAGGTCAAATGCTGGAGAGGAACCGGGATAATGCCCAAACAGATAAATAAAAAAATAAAGTGAGGTGTCACGCTGTTTCATTAACCCTGCATGGGGAGAGGTGTGCGAGCGTGTGTGTGTGTGCGGGCTAATGTCTGCTTGGCAGGGTAGTCAGGGTGCACGGCAAAAAGCTGCGGGTCCTGAACTTAACCCCACTCAAACGCAGGCCAAATACTGCAGCGAGCACAGCTGACCCTGAGCATGAGAGTGAGTCTGTACATATACTGTGTACATATACTGTACACACATGCATACTGCATATAAACAAATATATCTGTATGTATATAAATGAAATATATTTAAAATGAGGAAATATGTACATTCAAAATGTATTTGGAAATGTCTTATGCTCATCAAGGTTACATTTATTTTATCAAAACTAACAGTAATTTTGTGAAATATTATTACAGTAATAACTATGAAAAATATTTTTTTGTTTGTTTTTTTGAGGAAACTGATTTAATTTTTCAGGGTTCTTTGATGAATAGAGTTTAAAACAGCATTCATTTAATATAGAAATATTTTTGTAACATTATAAACATCTTGATGAGGATCTTCCACCTAACATCCTTGCAGAATAAAAGTATTAATTTCTACTTCTTTTTATTTTATATTATATTATATTTTTCATTGCAAATCATATCAACTTTTGAATGAATGAATTTCAGAATGTTTTAGTAAACTTTTGAACAGTAGTGTACCATATCTCATGGTATTTATTAAATGCTTTTATTAAAAAAAAAAATAGATTTTCAAAATTACAGTTGAAAATAATAGGAATAGTGACAGTGGAATGCATTATGGTGATTAGAATAAGGGGTTTAAAATATGCCTAATTGCCTAAAAAATAATAATAATAATCATGAAAAATATTTTAATGGTCCTAAATGTAGGCCTTGTTTTGTTTGTGCACAAAATGTATTTATTTATTTTCATTTTGGGAATCCAGGCAGCTTTTGTGAGATTTAAATATAAACTTAGGTTTAGCTGTGTCTGTTCAAATGAATAAAGTATATCTAATCATTGTTTTAAAAAATTTATAATGGTTTCAGTTTGTGTTTTTGAGGTTAACATTGTGTCTGTGAGGTGGATGGGTGTGTGTTCAGATGTAAGTAACAGACAGTGAAGGGTCATTAGTTTGTTTGTGATGTAGTACATTTGTCGGCAAGCCTGACATGCATTAGAGATCATTTAATATATTAGTGAGTGTGTGTTAGCAGTAGAATGTAGTTTGGACTAAACAGGCACCTGTCCTGTGTGTTAACATTCTTTTGAGACCCGTAGAGATGGCAGTGTCGTAGAAGTCCCCCAGAGGATTTCTCAGCTTGATCGTTCATTTGCTGTCTTTTCCTCCACAGAGAAAAGCTAATTCACTTTCATTTTGGCTCAGCGGTTCACTTTGTTCAGGTAGCAGAGGAGTCTGGGAATGAGTGTGTGTGCATTCTGTAGTGTGTGTATGGATGATGCTCTGTTATGTTGGCATACACTGTGTGTGGCTGTTTCATATCTGCATAGTTCTACATACAGAAGCTTTATTTCTCACGGGGTTCCTAATGAACATCAGGGTGGAGCATGCTCTTTTAAACGGCCAATCACAATGCTGCACCCGAGGGGCTTGCTATTACAGGAAACAAGCTAAGCAATGCATATGTTGTATGTAGGTTGCTGTCAATTTTAGAATGTTTTAGTAGTTTTAGCTTGATGTGATCACTTTTTTACATTTATTTAAATATTAAAATAGCGACAGATTAGTGCAGAATCAGAAATATTTCTTAGTCATTTTACATCATAACTTTTCTTAATATTAAAATATTTGAAACCCTAAAACTTAATTAGTACACAATCAGAAATATTTCTTATTTATTTTCCACCATAACGTTTCTTAATATTAAAATGTTATTAATTATCAGATTTAAATTGGATTTTTGAGTCTCATATTTTTTCAATTTAGTCTCAGGCTTTTGCATTTTTCTAATAAAATGCAACATTTTGTTTTATTTTACTATATTATATTTTGCATTGCAAATCATAATATTAGTTTATGAATTAATTAATTCCATAATGTTTTAGTAGTTTTAGCTTGATGCTAATATTAAAACAATGACACAGAATCAGAAATGTTTTATTGTACATCATCTTTTCGTGATTTTAAAATGTTTGAAATTCTAAAACTTATTTCCAGGTTTAAATTGGATTTTGAATCTCATGTTTTGAATATAGTCTCAGGCTTTTGGATCCAACTGGTCTGTGTGTTTGTATGCATTTATGCGTATGGGTCACTGAAGATAAGGGAACAGGTGTGTGTTTATAACTTTTCAAGTGTTCAAACAAGTCACTAACCCAGTTCCATCAGTGTACAGTGTGTATGTGAGTTATTTAGTAGAAAAGAATGAGATGGAAGGACTGGAGGCTGATTTTACAGAGCTGTTTCCTCTCTCTTATCGGTATGGCCGTGTGGAAGCTTCTGTGCTGTTCACATAGATAGCATCTCCATCTGATCTCTCTCTCTCTCATCCCTGTCCCACAGTCAACCCATCCCAGCTCTGATCTTTCCTCTCTTTCTCATCTTCTCACTATCTCCCTCCCCTTGTTATTCCCTCCATTGCCTTCCATTGCATGTTCTTTGCCTGTCCTTCACTGCTATTTGCTCTCTCTCTCTCTCTCTTTCTGCAGATGTGCAGATTTACCTTCAGCAGCGCCACATAAAACTGATTAACAGCACAGTATATCATTTTATATGCAAATAACATTGCTTTAATTTCTCTGGCTGCTCATTTTGCACTGCAGAAATTTTCATTGTTTACAGTTTGCTGGTACTGTTTGCCTTCGTAAATAGATTTTTAAAGGGAGAGGCATTGGATGAGAGAGAGAGAGAGAGAGCTGACTGAACAACAGTACTGTGAGTGACTATAGGGGATGTAGAGGATTGATTGGCCTGCAAGTTTCCATACTTTTTATTTATTTATTTATTTTTTTATACCATTTTCTTCATTTCCTATAGTCTTCTCTTCTCACAGCATATTAGAATGATTTCTTAAGGATCATGTGACACTTTATACTGATGGAAATTCAGCTTTGCATCACAGAAATAAATTATATTTTAAAGTATATTAAAATATAAACCATTATTTTATATTGTAATAACATTTTTGCAAGATTACTGTTTTTTTTTTCCAGTATTTTTGATTAAATAAATGCAGCCTTGATAAGCATAAGAGACTTCTTTAAAAAACGTCTTACTGATCCCAAACTTTTGAGCGGTAGTGTGTATATATATATGGAAATTTAATCATTACAATTAATAGGCCAAACTTACAATGTTTTTATTAAATTTTGATCATGTTAAATACAGTTTCCGTCGTATTAAAAACATTTCATGACTAAAAAGACAGGTAGTTGGGTCAGCCTCCGCCTATGGAGTTTTATACGCCTATAAAAAGTTTTCAAAAGCATCCCCCCTCTGTTTTTTTCACAAATCGCACCCTGTATGTATATATATATATATATATAGCTCAAAAAGGCAGCATTCCAAGGCAGGAAGGCAGGAAGGCATCAAGGCACGTCCGAAATAATTTTGTTGTCAATTCATTTCATTTCATTTCATTAAATCTTCTTTTCTCACTTCTTCTCTTATTTATTTTTATTCACTTTTCATCTCATTTAATCTTGTATTCCTTTCATATTCCTTTCCTTTTCTATTATTTTGGATTTTTTTTATTTTATTTTTATTTTATTTATACCATTTTCTTAATTTAATCTAACTTCATCTAGTCTTCTCTTCTCGCTTTTTCCCTTTTCTTTTTTTTGTTTTATTCTCATGCCATTTCATCTTATATCCTCTCTTTTTTTTGTCACATATTTGGAACTTTTTATTTTATTATTTTTAATTATATCTTAAGTAAATAGTCTGGTCAGACAGCAGCTGTCTGTCACACCAAAAAAGAATCTTATTTTACTACCATTTACAACATGAAATATCATTGAAACACATTAAACTTCAGTCGTGTAAGATGTTTCCCGGTTGAAAGAACATCAGGCAGGAAATAATGTAGGTTGTGATTTTATTTTATCAATCAGGACTTGATTGAATTGCGAATGTCATGATACGGCTGATTAATCATAATATTTTCCTCAACTATGCAGCCTTAGTTACATCAGCTGAAAAGTATCATTACGGAGAATGTTTTCACATTATAATTTTTAAATATTATGAACAAAGACATTTTATATTTCTTCAGAACATCACATTAACCCATTAATGTTCATTGAGAAAGCAAACAAGGCGCATGTTAGGGTTATCATGTTGTCTTTCTTTCTTTGTCACAGGCAAAGACTACCAGCCAAGAATGTGTATTACTACCGTTGCCCCGACCATCGGAGGAACTACGTGATGTCTTTCGCCTTCTGTTTTGACCGCGAGGATGACGTTTATCAGTTTGCGTACTGCTACCCCTACACCTACTCCCGTCTGCAGCATTATCTGGCCAGTCTGGAGCGCAGAAATCTCGATTACCTGCTGCGAGAGCAGCTGGGCCTCAGTGTGGTTAGTCATTGCATGTTTGCTCACTGCGTTGCCGCACGTCTTTGTTGCGTTTCAGGTGTTTCTGTCACTTTCTATTATGTAAGCATCTTCCTGTATCTGCTGTGCACTGCACACTCATTTTCTTTAAGGGGGCGGACACATGTAAGTGTCTTTGAGGATGAATGACTGTGTGTGTGTGTGTGTGTGCGCGCGCGCGCGCGTGCGTGCATGATCTGCACAGGTACTGGATCATTCACAGTGCCTACAGTCCCGTCTCGCTCTTATCAAATAATTGTAGAGGAAAACTCATTAGGAATGCTCAAGAGATTAAAGCCCTCTTTTAGGGCCTTCATCACTTTCACGTTCGTCAAGGAGAGCCAGGCACGGGAAGCCACTGATGAAAGGACATTTATTGATAAGAAATATGGTGTCAATGGAAAAAAAGAAATCAGTTTCACATGAAATGGAATTTGAAAGGGCAAATATATCAGGGGGAAAATAAATGGCAAAACTATATGTTAAAGCGATGCAAGAACAGAAATACAGACTTAAGGGTGAATCTGGTGCTCTTATTGATACAGCCTGAGAAGAATTCACTCAGACTGCATAAAACAAGATCAGATCTTTGTTAAGTCTTTAATGTTCACCAAGGCTGCATTTATTTGATCAAAAAATACAGTAAAACAGCAATACTGTGAAATACTATTACATTTTTAAATAACTGTTTTCTATTTTAATATATTTTAAAATGGAATTTATTCTTGAGATGCCAAAGCTACATTTTCAACAGCCGTTACTCCAGTCTTCAGTGTCACAGGATCCTTCAGAAGTCATTCCTAATATGCTGATGTGATGCTCAAGAAACTTTTCTTATTATTATCAGTGTTGAAATACAGTTGTGCTGCTTAATATATATTTTTAACTTGATACATTGTTTTCATGATTCTTTGCTGAAAAGAACAGCCTTTTTTCATATAAATCTTGTGTGACATTATACATGTCTTTGCTGTCACCTTTGATCAATTTAACTCTTCCTTGCTGAATAAAATTCATTTATACACCCCCCCCCAATCTTTCAGCTAAACTTTTGAACAGTATATATGTAAACCTAAAAATACTAAATGAAAATTAGAAATGTTTTCTTAGCAAATAACTGAAATAAAATAAGTTTAGTGCTAAAATTACTTAAACTAAATTTGAGTTTTAGCTCAAAAATTTAAAGCTAAATATAAATATTAAAAAACATGACTGACAAAACCACATAGCAAAATTACAAACAAACTGAAAGTGAAACTCAAATTGAAAATATAAAAATAAAAGCTAATTCAAAATATTATTAAATAATATAATAATACTGAAATAACACAGGTAGAGGTCCTGAGTTTTGGTAAAGACAAAAAAAAAAATCCCTCGTATACTGCAAGGAAAAGCATACATTTTTAAGTGTCTGAATATTTTGGCAGGGGCCACTAGGCCTCCCTTGCCATTTCATTAGCATGTACAATCAGCCTTTTTTATAATTCATGTAGAAGATATAATGTCAGAAATAAAGCAAGAATGAAAGGATAGATACTGAATGTTGGAGAAAAAAGTGAGGGAGGGTCATTGAGATAGAACAAGAGAAAGTGAGAGCGAATGTATTTGCATGCACAGGCATAAGGACATTTTATGGCCTTATTTGTCTTTTTATGTCCTCTGTTCTTGGGTATGTGGCAGTACAACACTCTTAATGACCTGCAGAGATGGAGGAGAGAGGGAGGGAACAAAGAAAAAGAGCAGGATGAGGCTACAACAGCTTGGACTGCAGTAGTAAAACACTCTCTGGTGTAACACACAGACGTGATGTACTTAAACAGAGGATCTGTGAGGAGGAAGTCCATGTGCACACACACACACCCACACACGTGCTATAGGTAAAGCACCAGAGAACAAGCCTGGATTCAGTGTAATACTGGGATTACTTCTCTCATATCTTTCACTTTCAATGAGGCAAGTAAATGCGAAGAGCATTCCACAAAAAGACTCGTCTAGTACATCTCAATTACCTCTTTTGCTCTGTTAATGCTTCGCCTTTCAGGGTCAAACACGTTTCTTTTTTAGAAGTCTGCTGGCTGGTGAGGTACAACTGTTTTACATTCACATTTGTAATACAACAACCAATCAGATTCCTCTCTATCCAGAGGTCTATGAAGATTAATCCAATCGAGCGTCGCCACAAATCGGTGTCCAAACACCCCAAATATGCTCATAAGGACTATTTTCACGACTTTAAAATGCAGACTCGCAACAACTGTCATGTTCAACAGCAATCGTCACATCTGTTTATTGTATCTTTAGTCATCAAAGTCCTCTAACAGCGTTATAAAGACAGAGAAGCATAGCGGGTTTTGACAGTCGCTTTGATGGATGATTATGCGTAGAAGCTTCTTCTATAGTCAGCTCGTCTGTTCGCCGCTGCCCATTTCGAACATCGAGTTCGCATCAGCAAATGGAGAATGAAGTTGTTTTGAAGGCTGCGCATCCAGATCCATTATCCATATCCGAGTGTGAAATGCTCGAGCCATCTGAATATTTAAAAGAGATCAAACTCAGATCTGCATTTATATGGATGTGAATTATTTAGACAGTGCAGTGTAACATACAGATCTTGTATAGCACAAGCAGCATGATCTTTGTAGATTAAAATAAGTGTATTGGATTAAATATTTAAGCATATATAACTGTTTATTTTTGCATAAAAGCGGAAGGCCTCAGGGTCTTTGTTGATGCTCAGTTATCGTGACTCAGATGACCTGCCTGTCTAGACAGAGCTCCCCTGTTTCATCCTCTCCTTTCATGCATCCTTCAGTCGTTTTCTGTTGGCAAAGAGCCTGTCAATCTCAACAGAGGCCCGTCATGTGACTCGAGCCCTGCTTTCTCACACAGGTGCCTGTTTGTGTTGAATTCTGAGTGCCTGCTCCTTTAAAGATGTGGAGCCGGAGAAGGAGACAGAGCAACAGTTGTGGATCTGACAGGCTTGCAAGAGCACTTACTGCAACAAAGAGCAGAGACAAAGACAAGCAGACAGACAGAATCCAGCCTGAGGGCCTGACCGGCACTCTCTGCTTCACTTCACGTCTCTCTCTGTCTCTCCGTATAGCAATTTGCAACTATATATTCAGGTTTACATTCATATAGTCAGACTTATAAAAATATAGATTTTTTTTTTATTATGATTTCCTCGTTTTGCTATATTGAAATTGAAATGCTGTATTGTAATTTAATACGTTCCATTTTTTTTTACTTGAAATATTGTAGCTTTAAAGGGGTCATCGGATGCCCATTTTCCACAAGTTGATATGATTCTTTAGAGTCTTAATGAAAAGTCTGTAACATAGTTTGGTTAAAATTTCTCAATGGTAGTGTAAAAACACCTTTTTTACCCTGTCAAAAACAGCTCTTTTCAGAGCAAGCCGTTTTTTATAGCATTTTCCTTTAAATGCAAATGAGCTCTGCTGACCCCGCCCCTCTCTTCCGAGCCGCTCTCTGAGGGACTGTTTACTTTAGCCGCATTCATCGTGAAACTTGCCAATTAGCATATTATTAGGAAAGGCAATTTGCAAAGATTCATTAAAAAATCTTACATTCACTTCTTCTGGAGGTGAAGCTAGATCACGAATGATTCGCGTGAACAAACGCATTTAGGTAGATCGGGGGCGCATTCCCTTCAGAAACAACGTAATCCACTGCGTCTTCAGCGGCTCAGATGTCGGGAGTAAACGACGACTGCTATGTTCATTATTACATCCAACAACAGAACACCTCAATCGCTTAGGAGCCATTCTTGTCTACATCTGCTCCAGCGGTGAAACA